TGTTAGTCCCTGGCTTGATAAGATCTTTTCCTGTAAGGAGGAAAAGTATTTTCATGAGCTTATGAAGGATACTTTTAATAAATGCAGGCTTATGTTTAGATTTAGTTTCTGTGTCCCTAGTTACAAAATAAAAATAATAATTTTGAATAAAAATAATGTCTTTATTTTTCACTAATATCTTCTAATTTAAGAGGCCTGACTTGCATCCAGTTTACAGAGGAAGACACCACCTGCCACATAGAGGCAGGAAAAAGCCAATTATATTCCCATTGCTTATCCCATTGCTTATAGTAAAGATGCATATGCAGTATTGGAGTCATGGTTCTCCTATTTAAAAATGCATTGTTTTGATAATTTAATTCAATTTTGTTTTCCATATTGTGTGGTAATGTGCAATACTGTTCAGTATTACAGTTGACACCACATCTTCTTTATTCATTAAGGTATATTGACCTCACTGTTGAAGGAGAGTAACTTTTCTTTTGAACACGTCCATGTTGCAGCTGCTCAGATTTCAAGGCTTAACCGACCTGCACTCATTTTTTTGGCCTCATGTTATTGCTTGCTAAATTAGCACCTGCACACCTTTTCTCTCTGTGTTGTGATTCAGCTATTCTACCATCCTTTCTGGTCTCTTTGTCCTCTGCAGTACTCTCTGTTCAAAAGTGTCCTTGGCACTATTTTTCTAGCATGTTTTACTACACGCTTCTATCCCGTCTTGCTTTTCTGTTTTAGATATACTTCTGTTGACTTTTCTATCCCCCTTTCTTCCTCCTTGATTTCACATCTATTAGATTCAATCCCAATTTCTTTTCTGTGAAATCTCTAAAACATGGCTAGACTAGTGTGTCCATCCATGCTATTTTATACTGATATAGGAAAAAAAAAATCTTCTCATTGAGTCAATTCCTTTGCACATCTCCAAACTCCCCTTCATGGTCACGCCTCTGTAAATGTCCAGTTCATGTGAGCTGCTCCCCTGTACATTAATTCACATGACAAAAACTCAGAAGAAAGGGGTATAGAGTGGTTGGTGGGATGCTTAGTTCATGTTGTTCAGCCTACGCCTGTGAGTTGTAAATTGTGGAGCTCTGTCTCAGGGCTTGATTCTGCTACTGTTCCTCCACCATAAGGCTCTTGAGGAGATTCTTGTCAGAATACAATATTAATTGAACTTCCCTAAGTTGAAGAACTTATGAGTCCCTATTACCTTTCCAGCTGGTTATTGCACCATCTTAATGATTTCCCTGCCTCTAGGGAGCCCTTTTACTATGTAAGATTCTGCATCCTCTCCCAACTTCTATTTGGTGTATCATGTAACACTTAAGTAACGAACGACCTTTAGTAACAGGATGAAGTGAGTAAACATTTTAAGCCCATACTTTGTAAATCTCACCCCCTCAGCGGTGTCACTAAGACACATTTAGTCTAGTAAATCTACAATAAATGTTGTAGTAATGTTTTTCAAAGTCCTCTTTAGATGTTTTGCTAGCCCTTATACTGAACACAAGACTTCAGTGGATTTCCCATATTCTCTCAAATTCTTTTCTATTCTACCTGATTTCTGTAAAGTATAAATGTTAAAATTGGCCACCTTCATTATCATCTAATATAATTGCAGTTACTCACAAGGAAGAAGGGAAATTTAACAGAATATTTATTTATATTACATTTTGACATTCTATCACTTAGCTTTTGTTTTACTTCAAACAGACTTTGAACAAGTAATTGCTGAACAATTAAAATAGTTGAGGAATTTTATACTTTTATAAGAAGAAGTTAAATAACATATCTCTATAAATTCTCATAAACTACAATTAATGCCTTAACTTTTATTAACTATACTACATTTAATAGTTTATTTTAAGTTAACTAAAAATAATAGTATGTTGTGTGGTATATCTGCAGATTGGTGAATAACATAATATGTGAGTCTAAGAAAAGATCAGAAAATAATTAGTATTTTAGTTCTATCCTTTGGAATGTACTTAATTTGTAGTTTTTTTCTTTCTGCATCTTATTCATCTCTAATTTTACTTGTAATTTAATATACTTCTGATTTTTAGTATTTTAATGGAAATATTTTCAAACAAAGTTATGATATTATATGATTTATACAAATGGGAAATTATTTCTATTTGTGCTAAGGAAAGGTGGTAGAAAAAAAATAGAGTGAACAGAGAAGAGGCATACCTAAGTTGAATTAACAGAGTTTGTCTAGTCACTAGCTAATCATTCTTTAAGTGTGTGATTTGTTTGTTTTTACTTATCTGTTTCAGTAACAGACTCAGTCAAATGGTGTGCATACATTCAACTTTAGATGGGGGTAAAGAATATTGTGAGTGTTCGTGAGTTTTGATGGAAGGCTGTCATAGCTTTTAATGGACAATTAAAATTATGTATTCATATCTAGGTTTTTAAATAGGAGTAAAATAATGGAAAAAAATATGAAGATTAGACTTCTGCTGTTAGCCAATTTTATGATTTTGAATTGGATAGTTTTCATACTATTTCAGTCTTCTCATTTCAAGGGTAGTGCTTCCAAACACAATAAGCAGTTCTAGTATCTTGTCCATGTTTAACAAAGAAATATTTTTATTTATAAGGCACCTTTACAGCATGGGTGCTTTACTGGTGTAATTACTGAGCTAACTACTTTCTTAAAATTGAGCCATCCGATTTTAAAAAATCCCAAAGAATTACATTCATTTTAAATTATGCACTTATGGTTCTGATAATGCCTGCTAATCTTATCAGTCATATGTTAGCA